AATCCAGAAGCTTAAGTACGACAAACAGCAGAACGTCAAATCTGGCAACTTTCAAGATCCCCAAAGTTCTCAACGAGCCCAATGTACGTTTCCACTCATCAGCTAGAGGCTTGTTTTGAGTACTCTGTAGACCCTGATAAGCTAACAGCGTGAGTAGCACCATTATACGAAGAATTCAGCACAACGAGAGGGCCTTTACTCGGCAGTTGACAGATACCGAAGTAGGAGTGCTATAGAGGTTCCAATTGTTGTAGGAGGCAAAGAAGTACGATGGCGGTGTCTTGATGATTTCTTCATACTGCAATCTCTAACGATCAAATAGATCAAGACGTCACAGACCGCCACCCAGCAGAACCCCTCCGATCATGCTACTACCATCGCTACCTATTCCCTCGCTTCGCCCTCAGATGTCAACAGCGCCATTGATGCTGCCCTGGCCGCGAAACCAGCCTGGGAATCCCTCCCCTTTGCCGAGCGAGCCTCCGTGTTCCTGAAGGCTGCCGATCTCATCTCGACCAAGTATCGATACGAGATCATGGCCGCCACCATGGTAGGTCAGGGTAAGAATGCATGGCAAGCTGAGATTGATTCCGCCGCTGAGCTGTGCGATTTTCTGCGTTTCAATGTCCAATATGCCGAGGAAATGTACGCTCAACAGCCCGCCCATAACTCTCCCGGCGTATGGAACCGGGTCGAATACCGGCCACTTGAGGGGTTCGTCTACGCAGTTAGCCCCTTTAACTTTACCGCTATTGCGGGTAACCTGCCCGGTGCACCAGCACTTCTGGGTAATGTGGTGGTTTGGAAACCGTCTGATTCCGCTATCGCCTCTAACTGGTTGCTCTATAACATCTTGCTTGAAGCCGGGCTACCAAAGAACGTGATCCAGTTCGTTCCGGGCAACCCGGAGGAGGTTACGAGGACTGTTCTTGCGCATAAGCAATTTGCCGCGCTTCACTACACCGGAAGCACAGCCGTCTTCCGAAAGCTCTACGGACAGATTGGCCAAGGCACTGCGGAGGGCCGATACCAAGGCTACCCGCGCATTGTCGGTGAGACGGGCGGCAAGAACTTCCACCTGATTCACCCTTCCGCAGATATTGACAACGCTGTTGTGCAAACTGTGCGTGGTGCATTCGAGTACCAAGGCCAGAAGTGCAGCGCCACCAGCCGCCTCTACGTTCCGAAGTCAGTCTGGCCTGAATTCAAGGAGAAGCTTATCAAGGAAACGGAGGCTCTAAAAACAGGAGCTCCGTGGGACGCGAAAAACTTCATCGGACCCGTCATCCACGAGCCTAGCTTCAAGAAGCTATCTGGGGTGATTGATGACGCCAAGAACGATTCCGAGCTAGAACTTCTTGCAGGTGGTAAATACGACGGATCAAAGGGCTACTTCATCCACCCGACTATCTACCAAACCGCAAATCCTTCGCATAAGCTGCTCAGTACCGAGCTTTTCGGGCCCATCCTGACAGCCTACGTCTATGATGACACGACGGGCGATGCAGCTCAGGCATTCGTGGATACCTGCAAGCTCGTCGACAGCACGACCGAGTACGGACTCACGGGTTCCATTTTCGCCAACGACCGGGCTGCTGTCCACGTCGCACAGGAGGCGCTGCGTAACGCGGCGGGCAACTTCTACATTAACTGCAAGAGCACGGGTGCTGTGGTAGGTCAGCAGCCGTTCGGAGGCGCGCGCGCAAGCGGGACGAACGACAAGGCCGGTAGCATGAACCTCCTTGGCCGCTTCGTGAGTGTGAGGAGTATCAAGGAAGAGTTCATGCCGACAGCAAAGGTTGAGTATCCTAGTAACGAAGTCTAATATGTGACACCCAGCCAGTGGAATATAGCTTGGGGAGAGGAGGATAAATGGAATCGTCGCCTGAAAAAAAGAATGGGAGTCTAGTGGTGAGCTGCTGTTATATTTTCCTCTAGGGATGAGATATGATCTAGCGTTTATGTGAAATGATGGCATTTAGCTTTTTTTTCCCGTCTGCGTCTAACTCGACGGGCGTTCTCGTTGTCATGGGATATGTACCCAGAATGGAACTAAATCTGAGATAGAAAAATTCTCATACTTTTAAACTTTGACATCTCGCCTTGAAGTGGAATAAGGCTAAGGAATGCTACCTTAGATCCCGACCCTCCTGATGCCTAACCTAGATATTTGGCTACATAAAATGATGGTCCCAAGTTTACTGCATTGGATAGAGCCTCTAACCCCGCACAGTTGCATTCGGGTACTTGGTAGTACTTGGTAGTGAAGGTGCTCTTACTAAGTGGTCGTGTACCTATTTAGCTTGCAGCCCTAACAATGAACTCAGTAGGTAGGATAATAACGTATCACGGCGTGACATGGCGTGATAGTCATCAATACCCCCAGTTCTACTTCACTCTGATGCAGTGGTTCATGAATTCTGATGAGACGCTGGGATATCTTTAGCTTGGATAATCCGGGGTGCAATGGGGAGAATACGCACTTCGCTGTGCGGTATGGGTGTCATTCAAGGCACGCAAGGGGGGACTGTGGTCATAATTATGGTGTGTTTGAAGCAGGGATCTGTAGTTGGCTCTCTTTCTGATTGGTGAGGCCTGCTGCATAATAAAGGTAGCAGGACGGGAGCTGTTTATGCATGTTTGTGTTATGATCCCCCGAGGAAACGTTAGGTAATGCATGCTTCCACTGGACGGCATGCTTGAGAAGGACGATAATTAACATTTATCGTTGAATCTTGGACAAGGTCGAGTCTGCGTTTGTCTCAATCGATGCTTCATAGATACTTGATAAACAGAGTCCAGAACGGCTGTCTCATCACTCACTCACTAACTTACCTTTTGCCCTGCTCCCGAACTGCAAATCTCGGAAGTACCGGAACCGGTTCGCCCGGCTTGTGGCTCCCGGAGCAGGAGCAGTCCGACGGAGTAACCTTGCAATGCACGACGATAACATCTCGATAACAACACATGCTAAACGCAAATCGGAAGAGAAGGATCTTGACCCCTCCCAGTGTATGGCATTTGGTATTAATATAACGGGACCCGCTCTCGAACTCGATCCCTAATTCAACTCAGAGCGACTATACTGGTAGACAACTACAAGTGGTGAACAGTGCGGTAGACAGGAAGAAGTGAAGCATAAAAAGAAAAAGAAGACCATGGCAGATGAAATCCGTCCCTACACCATCGCAGTTCCAGATGCGGGGCTCGAGGATCTGCGTGAGCGTCTACGCCGCGCTCGCTTGCCAAATGAGCTCGAGGATGTGGGCAATGATATGGGCGCGCCGCTGACGGCTGTTAAGCGCATCGCAACGCACTGGGCCGAGACGTACGATTGGAGGAAGGCCGAGGCCGAGCTGAACAAACTGCCTCACTTCACCACCGTCCTCCAAGCGACGGGCTTCGAGCCGCTCAATGTGCACTTCATACACAAGACGAGCAGCCGGGCGGACGCGATCCCGCTGCTATTCGTGCACGGCTGGCCGGGAAATTTCCTCGAGGCCACCAAGATCCTGGGCCCGCTGACGGAACCCGAGGATGCCTCACAGCCCGCGTTCCACGTCGTCGTGCCCTCGCTGCCAGGCTACGGGTTCTCCGAGTTCACGAAGAAGCGCGGCTTCAGCGTCGATCAGCACGGCGAGATCTTCCACAACCTCATGCTGCGTCTCGGCTACGACGAATATGCCACGCAGGGCGGTGACTGGGGCTTCCTGATCACGAGGGCTATGTCGAAACGATATGCGCCCAAACATCTCAAGGCGCAGCATCTGAATCTAGATCACTACCCCCAGCCTACCCTGAGGAGAAACCCCCTTACCTTCGTCCGCACTATGGTGTCGGCGTTGGTGACGGGCTTTTCAGAGAAGGACAAGAAGGGCTTTGAGCGCTCTAAGTGGTTTAAGGATGAGGGCTCGGGCTATTTCAGCGGTATGTTTGTAGTTTTCTATTTCTGGCTTCGATATAAGCTACTACCGGCTTTGATTCTGTCAAAACCCTGGGAACTCGCGCTATCTTGAGATACCGCATACTTGATACCTCTTTTCTTAGCCAGTCTGGTGGAGGTAGTCATTCAGACGAACTAATTCACCAAACACAAAATCACAGTCCAGAGCACAAAGCCTCAAACACTCGGCTACGCCCTATCCGACTCGCCCGTCGCGCTGCTCGCCTGGATCTACGAGAAGCTCGTCGACTGGACCGACGCGTACCCGTGGACGGACGACGAGGTGTGCACATGGATGAGCATCTACTGGTTCTCGACGGCCGGGCCAAGCGCTGCCCACCAGCTGTACTACGAGGTAATACACGCCAAGACGCACGAAGCGACCTATAAAGACAAGCAGGCCAAGGGCATCGCGGTCTCGGACGTCGACGAAATCAAGGCCTGGCAGGACGTCAAGATTGGCCTGGCGCATTTCCCCCGCGACGTCATCGTGCTGCCTGGTTCTTGGGGACACGTCATGGGAAACGTCGTCTTTGAGAGAGACCATGAGAGGGGCGGCCATTTTGCAGCGTGGGAGGTCCCAGAGCTGATTGTGAAGGATCTGAGGGACATGTTTGGGCCCAACGGGGGCGCGAAGGGCGCGGTGAAGACAAAGGCGAGCTTGTAAAAGTGAAAGCAACGGTCTAGAATTCATTTTTGGAACTCTTACTTGGGTTTAAAATGTTACATCTTGAACTCCAATTTGAGCTTGAGGCGCGTATGTCGAACGGTCTCTTGTAGAACATGGATGACCTAACGTGATCAATGGATGGTTCCGCATGTTCGTACTGAATGCTCACTCGTCCTGGTACATACCTAGGTACGTTCGTAAACGACTTCCAATCTACATTTACTTTCAATGTTCTCCAAGCGGCGACAGAAATGTAGTGTTTGTCAGACGATGATGACATAGGGGCCGATGATGATAGGAGGCATGAGCTGAGAAAACAGGTTAAGTACGGAACCTGATCAGTACGGACCTAGAGTACAGGTGAAAGAGAATATAATGAAAAATAAACACCATCACGAAGGTTCAAACTCCGGTCCCCAGAGCTTTCTGTACGTAAGGAAATCTGGTATCCTAAACCACTAGACGATGATGGTTACTAGCTTGTTGAGATGTTTGCTTGCTATTGTGCTTTATGGGCTCTACGTCTATTGCTAGAATGTAACGGGAAGTCGCAGTAGCTGTGCTCTGTTTGCTTCTCGCTCATTAAGATAGGCCTGCATTGACTGATAATTATACAATGGTTACTCCTTCACTAAGAGATATAGGGCTAGCCCATTGATCTCTGCCCGGAATATAGGCACTGGCCGCAGAGGCATAGTCGAGCACTCACAACTAGGTTCAAGAATCTTGACAACTCTATGGTAACTCGGCTCACAGACTCATAGATATGCAGTGACACCGTAGTGTAAGGCAAGTGATATCGATTCACTTCCGCCGAATCGGTCTCTGAAGCGGCGATTTACTAAGGCCCATTACTTGGAATGAAATCTTTAAACAAAATGTAACTTTTGGGGTATGGAAATGTCTTCTAACTACACGCTTAGGAAAAACGGGATCTGTCCAGGATCCATCCCCTTCCACACGAAGGGCATGCCTTGACACAGGCCTTCCTCATCAAACGTCTTCTTATTGATCCTCTCGCTGATCTCGCGCATGTCCGTCATGAAGCGTTCGTTCGCAAACACTACTTCTCTTCGCCCCCCCTCTAGAAGCGACTCGTCGTCGAACATGTGCAACAGTGTTTCCTGGCTATCTACTAACTGGGGCCTGTTGAAGCGAGCCAGCAGCGCAATGTGCTGCACGGCGTCATGCTCGTTGGGTAAGAATGGTAATATGTCTTTGACGCCCTTCTGCTTCGGTGGCGGGGCGTAGAGAGCTGCAGGATGGAGGGGGAGGATGCCCGAAGTAGCGACTGGCGTCCCAGAGTTAAGCACGTGGTGAGACACGCCGCCGAGCCATGCAATGTGCGTGATGATGTCGACTAGCGTCTCAACTGTCGTGAGGGGGGCGTCTGGAAAGTCGATGACCATAGCAGGACCGTTTGCCTCTTCGATCCAAGCTTGGACTTCCCAGTCGTGTGCAAGCATTGTATCGGTCTCGTAGTACGCGTCCACGAAGGACTGCACAAATCGTCTGATAACCGGCAGCACCCGTGAGCCGTCTTCGTAGAATGGGAAGTGCGGAAGGTCTGGGCCGTAGGTGCTGTTGATCAGACCTCGTCGTCGTAAGTCCTCTTCAAAATAGTTGCCTCTGAATGCGCCAGCTACAGTGGGATAGAACTCGGTAGCGAACTGCCGTACCGCATGGTTATTGGCAGCAAAGGACCGGTCGAAGTAGCCACCGTCGTTGAAGAGTACGGTCTCTCCGACGGGCCGTATCGCATATGCTTGATGCATGAGCCGGTCAAGGAGGGCGAGGACGGGGTGGCTGCCGCTCATACTGCGGAGCGCTGCCTGATGGACAATTTCCGCAACAGCGTGCGAGTTGGCTAAATGGAAGATTTGTCCATGGAAGAGATCATTCTGGTTGAACATGGCTTTGGCCAGCAGCCAGTCGTTTTCATCGTCCAGAGGTGTGTAAATTAAATCACTACCCACGTTGGTTTTTATGGCTAGGGGTAGGAACTGGCTCGACTTGACGTCCAGGTAGAAGTACGCCTGGCAGCCAGCAATATATCTGTCTTTGACTGTTGGGTAGTCCTTTTGATAACTGTGATCTACGAAGAACAGTCGTCCGCCTGTATGAAGATCATTCATATGTGATCCAGTGAGAGCCGTGACTGTCTCATCATCGAGCTCAAAGGGCAAAGTATCAAGTTTTGGATGTAGCCGATGGATGGAGTACGGGTTTGTGGATAGCCGCTCCATGGAAAAGAGCAAGTCGGAGGTGAAGTTGGTGAATTCTCCACGAGCAAAGCCAGTAGGGACTGACCCTTGCCATTGTCCATCATAAAGGATATGATAGTCTGATAACTTTTTGATGCCGCCAGCCTAAAAAAATGTTAGAACAACTCGAGGTCTTTATAATACGGAATACATACACTTTCGATGGCAGCCAGAGAGGCTACTATCTCCTCCTCAACAGTTCTCACTAACCACCCTGCGTCTTTGTACCACTGGTCCTGATGCTGCTGTACCAGAGCATCACCAAGGGGTCCAGAAGGAAAGAAAGAGCTATTGCCGAGCAGGGAAGGGCCATACAGAAATCCAGCTTGTCTGTATTTCACTTCCTTCCTCCGAGAGGAGGGATCTGGATCTTCAACAGGTAACAAGAACCTCTGTATAGGCGGAGTGAGTGGTATTTGAGGGCCTAGCCATGATTGGTCACGTAATTTGGACCATGAAGGCCGCAGGCTGGTCAGTGGTAATGCAGCTGCAGGTACAGCTACCCAAAACAGATGTATGAATGAAACCATAATGACATAGGGACCATGAATCAGAATGTTCAAGGAATATCTCTGGACGTAATGAAGGGGGCATCGGCTCTTGATAGAAGAATTACAGCTGGTAGACTATCGGACTGCTTCCTCGAGGAGACTAGACAATTATGCCACCATATCACTATCACCAACGACAAGCCCCCATCCTCAGCTGCCGTAGGATTACTCGCTAAGCCTTGGAATGTCTGTTGGCTTGGTTTTCCGAGCAAGTTGCTCCTATAGGCTAATGACATCTGATCGTATCTGGTCTTCTATTCGCACTTGTGCGAAACATTAGCTTAACGCATGCCCAGGTTCTTGCACAGGAAAATAGGCCAAAAGACGTTTCACATCTTGGCGAGTAGAGACCAGACCCTTGGCTTCAACATTGATAACTTGCTAACCGAGTTACGATCATGGAATACTTAGTCGTGACACCGAGGTACTTGCAGTTCTTCTCATAGAACTATTTTTATCAGTTAGTAACACAACGTAACAGCGTCGTATTGGAAATCCAACGGGCTCAGCCTTAGTCTATGACTTGCAGCAAAAGCTGCGAGTCTCGTGAAAACTGATCTGCTTGTGGAACTGGTTCGGTAACTGCTAACCTCGTTCAGCGTTGGTACTGGCCATGTGGCTTGCTATGTTCGCTTAGCGAAGCGGATTCTATGTGTGGATCAACTAATATAACTATCTCATATCCTTGTAGTTGCTGATGGACGTTGACTTAAAGTGGGATTTATATGTTGATGTGGCAGGGCGGCGCAATTCTAAAACCCTACGTACGAGGTCCATATGGTGATAAACCTACACCTTTGCCTGCCGCACAACATCGACATGGTATGCTTCAGCTCAGCTAGATATGTGAAATTGAACAATATCTAATTAGCAGACTTGATTGGTTGGTCAAGCGACAAAGGCTGACTCATCCCTAGCTCTTACAATAGATAACGTGGTAGTTACTTTCTACGGTATGGCGAACCAGCCCTTTTCACATCCATTGGCATGTGAGGAAGGACTTGTTCCTAGAAATGATAGGCTTACGTACTGTTGCTAGGTAGCAAAGAGCCCTTACAGTAGAGTCGTTGTACAGCATGCCTAGTAGTGGGGCTTACAGTGCTAATTTGTCATAAAGATATACACTAACCCTTTGAATGTGGCTGCGGCAGCAAACTTAGAGTTGATCCTGATGGGGTAATTACATAGCATTCTATCCAATCAAACGGCTGGACAAAACAGACCATCCAATCGGTTATATCGCAAATATTTCAACGTTGCATGTAACTTGTTACGCAAGCCACCTTGATGATACTACTGTAGCAAGTGTAGTTGGCAGGCTGTACGTTACGGTGTAAGCACCTTTCGATGACCTACTTAATCTAGATAGCCAGCCTACCCTAGTCGGATTCAAGGCAAGGACTCCGGCCCTTCGCATCGCTACCTAAAAAGGATATCTATGTGGGGGTTCTCTAGATAGCATCTCACTACCCTTGTAGTTGCTTCCTTTTCACACCGAAAGTTGGTACAGCTGCTTGCTTGGGTCACATTCTGTACTTGTATTTCGTAACCAGGTAGCATGCAGTCACATACATATGTACACATGAAAGCCATGTGCTAGGCGGCCAGCCGTTGCTACGTCCTGTGCGCTAGCCATTCCGGGACCGCGGTACGAATAGAAGTCCATATACCCCATGGGTGGTTACACCGTAAAATATGCCAAAACGACCGTTTTAAGTCTTGGCGAGTAATGTCCCTAGCCCCCAATCGCGCCACGTTGTGAGAGAGAGCTGAGATGTGAGCTATAGGAATGTCTTTGATCCAGCCTGTATGCGGTGAGATTTGTGCAACAACATCGGGAGTAAAATTTTCAACGCATCACTTGATCTAACGGCCAATCTTTGCTGCGAGTTTGACCTCGTTCTCGAGCCTTGACCTTCTCATCATTACACACGTCCTACACTATGTATTCTTCAGTGCCATTGGTACTGCTGCTAAGTGTATCATGCACTGCTTTCTCGGAAGCATCATGGGTGAAGCAAAAACAGTCCGTAGGAACTCAAGGGCAAAAGGCAATCGGACATAATGACCTTTTCCACCCAAATCCGGATCATCCCATCCCGTACAAGATTCCATTCGAATGGGATGAGAAAAAGCACTATTATGAAAAGCATATCAACGGATCTGAGAATGGATACTATCGGAGGTCATCTTGTCCTGCGATGAACGCTCTTGCAAATAGAGGGTATATCAATCGATCAGGACGGAACATTAGTTACGACGAAATAGCGCAAGCTACCAGGGTCGTTTGGAACTTTGGTGACGACAATGTAAGATCTATTCATAAGAAAGTCGATTCTCTTGCTAACTTGTCAGATCTTGGTTGTAGCGGAGCCGACGAGACAGCACCATCCAGGACTTGACAGGATAGACCTGGACATGCTGGCCGATGACAAGGTACAATACGATACAAACTGCCCTGCCGCCCCGACGAGGAATGACCGCGAGCTCGGGGACAACGTCAACATGAACATGACCCTCTTTGAACAGTTGATATCTGCTTCCAAGGATGGAGTGACGCTATCATTCGAGGACGCAGCCGAGCACCATCACCGACGCCATAACGACTCCAAGGCCAACAATCCAAACTTTCGTTTTGGGAACCAGATGGCCATCTGC